CACAGGCTGAGGCTCTATCCGGTGCAGCAAGCCAGCCATGGCTCTCTCATGGCTCACTCACTCATTCATACATTCATGTGTCACACATTCAATAATACCTGGCGAGCTAGGTCTCTGCTACAGGAACTGAAGAGGCTCTGTGCGTCACAGGGAAAGGACCCTCCTGAAGTGTGCTCTCAGTGTGTCGGTGGACCTGTGCCTCCAGGTACCTGTCCTGCCCCTTCTGTCAGATTCTGCTTCCTTCCCTCTGTGTGCTCACTCGCTGTGCCTGGCACGCCTCTGATGGCTGCCTTTGGGGCCACAGCTGGATCAGGGCAAGGGGGTTTAGAGGTAGAGGATGCAGGGTATGAAGTCCACAAAAACAGAAATGAACGGGGGGTGGGGGGGTGGGCAGCAAGGGTGGTGTGGAACTAGGATGGCCAAGACTGGTCAGAGAGCAGTACATATGTACTCTCATATGTACTCACCTCACCATGGGATGAGAAGCCGAGACCCTGACACCTGCCAAAATGGCTCAGGAACGGAAAAGCTGAGTCTGTAAACCGGGCCAGGGAAACACGCAGACCCTCTACCCTTTCTGCCTTCCCTCCAAGGAAAGCCCCAGCGATGCAGAACAGAAGGTGGGGTGTAGTGGTAGCACACATTACCGGTGACCAGCAGATGGCAGTGTCCGCCAGCCCTCTGCATTTGTCCCAAACAGAGGGCTCAGAGAGGTCCCCTGTGGAACTTCTGGGAAAGAACCCACCCTGCTCCCTTCTCTGTCCCCTCCCCTCCCCCATGCAAAGGCCCAGAGCCCAATGGCAGGTCAAGCCAGTGGCAGGTCAAGCCGGTGGCCGGGAGCCTGGCTGCAGCCCACTGGGTGTGGATGCCAGAGCTGTTGCCGGGGGTAACCTGGAGCAGGGCAGCCCTGGGAAATTCCTCAGAGCCCAAGGAAACCCAGCCCCAGCATCAGACAGGAAGTCGAGCCAGAGCACTGCTGGAATCTTCCCGCACCTGTGGCCCAGGCAGCCCATCCAGGCCTTGCTGGGGGAGACATTTGCAGCACCTCTCGGCTGAGTGGAGATCAGTACCACCAGGTGTAGTGAGGGCCAGCAGGCAGCTGCCTCTGCAGGTAACATCACCACCTTCCCTCTCCTGCCCTCCCAGAGATATCTTCCTCAGGGCAGAGCTCCAGCCTAACCCTCTCTCCAGCTCTGAGTCACAAAGGCCAGGGGCCATGGTAGGTCCAGACCGAGGGCAGGCTCCTGGCCGGGTGCCTGGCAGCGGCCCCATGCCCACATGCCCTCCACCTCTCACAGGTGAACCCTCGGTGGACGTTTGATTGTCAGCCTCACTGTGCATTTGAGGATCTAAAGCTAGGAAGGGCTGAGGGACTTGCAGCTTGAGGTTAGAGGCAGGATTTGAATTCTGGTCTCTTTAAAAATATCTATTTGCATTGATGTCAGAGAGAAAGGGAGAGGGACAGAGAGATGGAAACATCAATAATGAGAGAGAATCATTGGCGGCTGCCTCCTGCACCCCCCACACTGGGGATCGAGGCGGCAACCCAGCCATGTGCCCTGACCGGGAATTGAACCGTGACTTCTTGGTTCATAGGTCAACGCTCAACCACTGAGTCACGCCAGCTGGGCGAATTCGGGTCTCTTGACTCTGAGGAGCATCAACCAGTCATGGCCAGGAAGCACCTGTTCTGTCTTCTGAACTAATGTTTTTTTGCAGGGACCCCGCACCCCCCAAAAGCGGACAGGGCAGAGGCTGAGTCCTCATTACGCCTTGTCTACAGGGTGCCTAGGGCAGGGTGAGACCTTCTGTGCTGCCTGGAGAACAAAGGAACAGGAGCGCAGAGGGGACCCGCCATCCCAGGAGGCTGTGATGCCCAGTAACAGCGTCTGATCACTTGCCCACCTTGGGGACCCGGCTTCCTTATAACCATGCACGCATCTCTCTCTAAGGGACGTCCTTGTGCTCAGGTCATCAGACATGAGGGACTGGGGTTGGGATGTGGCTGGAAGCTGAGTAGACTGTCCCTGCAGCTGACCCAAGTTCTGGTGCCTGAAGGTCACCACAAGGTGACTAGCCGGCAGAATCCAAGACTAACTTCCCAAGGGGCTTGAACTCATGTTCCAGACTCGTGTTCCCAGGTGGCATGTAAATTCCCGCTGCGAAGTTGCCTTGGAGATGTCGTGGCTCTCCTGGGTCTGCTAAGACAAAACATGGTCATGTTCAGAGCTATTAGAAGGCTGCCTGGGGCTGGGAGTGCCCTGTCCCCGCAAGCACTGCCTGGGTAGCAGTCTGTTACGATTCAGGCATGGCAAATATCAGAGCCAAATATCAACAGTACAATGATTAAAATTTCTTTTGAGAGCCAAATTTTTAAAACTTAAACTATATAGGTAGGTACATTGTTAATAACTTAATTAGGGTACTCCTAAGGCTTAGGAAGAGCCACACTCAAGGGGCCAAAGAGCCGCATGTGGCTCGCGAGCCGCAGTTTACCGACCACTGCAACTGCGCGTTTTGTCTAGGCCCTAGACAACCCCAAAGTTTGTTCCAGATCCTGGGATTCTGTGTCCTGAATCAGAGACCAAATCCCAGGAGAAAGCGAACAGCTTCTGCAGGGGAGGGATGAGCAGCAAAAGTGTTCTCCGAGGTAAGGATCTGGGGTGAGAATCTGGGGACCAGCCCTCCCCACCTCAGTCAAGAAACACCCCCAACCCCACTCCCTATCCCCTGTGGCTTTCCCCCTCTCCCCCTATGGGAGCCATTCTCACCTCCTCTCTCTGAGACAGCAGGAGTCTGGGATTCTGGAGGTTGGGGGTGGTCATTAGACGGATGCAGGATGAAGTTAGAACTCTGGTGCCAGTTTGCTCCCAGCCTTCTCGCAACTTCTTGCACCTGACTCTGAGCTCCTCAACAGCTGCCCAATGGCGGCCGGGGCAACACAGAGGCCAGAAGAATTTCCCTTCAAAATGCGCTTAGCAGCACGTAGAGCACAACGTGCAGGTTTCCCTCCTGCCACCAAAGGCCCCTGCACCCCCAAGAGGAAGCCCCACGCTGAGCCTTGATGAGCCCGACCAGTGGTGGTGACTATACCAGGGACACCTGTGGCGATGCTCTCTGACCAATCTTGGCCATCCCAGTTCCACACCACCCTTGCTGCCCAGACCTTCCCAACCTCATCTCACGCCTTTCTTCTCTGCCCACCTGATGGGCCTGGGGTCTGCGAGGAGTGACCCCTCACCAGGCCTCTCCTGCCCCTCCTGTGCCCCTGTTTCCCAGTGGCCTTGTCTCCACAGTGGCCGGGATGGGCCAGGAGTTCGCTTGGGAGGGAGCGGCTGATGCAAGGGAACTGTGTCAGAGTGCAACGCGTCGGTGAGTGGCACCTGCGCCTCCCGTGGCTTTGGGTCCTGACACATCGCGTTGACGCTCATCACCCACTCCATGACCGCGATGCCCCGCCCCCGCCTAGATTTCCAGTTCGGGAGCAATTTTCAAGGAAAAGTACGCACCTGCCCCGCTTCGGGCGTCCGCTGGGCTCAGCCCCTCCGTCTGCCTAACAGCAGCCCCTCATTCCGCTGGCGGCTCCCGCACTCAGGGGAGCTCCGGCTGCCGGTGGAGCAGAGCCACACCCGCCTGCGACCACCCTTCCCTGCTCCTGCCCCAGAGTCTTGGCCTCAGGAACTGCCCCTGCCCGCTACGGACACAAATGCCCTGCGCCCCGAGAGTGCGCTCCGGGGAGCCACCGCCGCTGGGCGCCCCCTCCAGCAAGCCGGCTCCCAGAGAGCGACAACCGCTGCGAGGGGGGGATGGAGGGGTGGGGAAGAGAAGTACAGAAGCACCCTCCCCCCTGGAGGTCTTCGTCGCCCACCGGCTTCTGGCTGCACCCCAATATACCCGGGTTGACCCTTTCCCGTTAGCCAGATCCCTAGAGGGCTGGCCGGAAGGTCATCAACTGCCGAGCACATGAGGACTTGGGGCGGCCCCTTCTCGCGGGGGAGCTCGACACCCCCGGCGCCTGCCTTTCGTCAGTTCCTGGTGCTCTTTTGGAAGAATCTA